TTTTCTCGTACACGATTTTTGCGTCACTTGTACTTTTTCTGCCGGTCATCTTCTTTGGATTGTTCCTCTTCATGCCGGAGACGCCTGTCTACCTGGTGAGGAAAAATCGGAGTGCCGATGCTACCAGGTGAGGGATTGATTGATTGAACATTATTTTAATTATTGCCTTGAGGTCGAATGAATGGAGAAATGAAAATAAAATTTCTTTTATTTTTTTATTTCATTTCTCAAGTGATTCTGACCTCAAAACAATTATTAAAATTGAATTTAATAAGAATAATAAGAAGATATTGAGTTGATAAGATCGATTGATGGATTTAGTTCACCAACGAACAATTCAGCGGTGAGTTTTTTTAATATATCTCCGAAACTAAGGGAGATACCGGAATTTTTGATAAGAATATTTATGTAGCTGTAATTGAGAACTACAGAAAAGGTCCAATGAACATTTCGGTATCTGGAGAACTGCAAAAGTTATGCTTCGACAACTCGCGAAGAATCGACGCGACTTTCCTCATCGGTGTTGAGTTGATTGACTGTAAGTTTTGTTTTGCAAAATGTTATTATCAGGTGTAAACAAATTGTTTGGAATAACGCGAAACATACAATCGGTATATTAAATAATTATATCCACTATTTATAGATTTCTATTAATTACTAATTATATTATTATTGAAAATCTGAGAATTGGGGATCGATGGTAGAAGAATCGGCGAACCGATAAAATCTGTTTTCTTGGCGTTCAGGTCCCTCATGTGGTTGATGGGTAATAATGAATCAGCAGCAAAACTGGAGCTACGAAGGCTCCAGACGTATGTCAAGGAGAATGTCGATGTGAGTAGATCTGTCGGATTCCGAGACCTCGTGAGAGATCGAGGGACGATCAAGGGATTTATCATCGCTCTGGTTCTCTTCGGGGCTCAAGAGACCACTGGATATTCTGTGATGGTAACAGCTAACAATCAAAAAATAAATCCCAAAAGAAAGAATGAATATTCCAATAACATTATAATCCAATTGACTTCAATTTCCATTTTCCAATTTTTCAATTCAAATTGTTAACAAGTCAGAACAAAATTTGAAATCCTAGCATTAATATTAATATTACATTCTCCTAGATTTTTTTTGATAGTGAAAATTAATGATAAATTGAAGAAAGCGAATAATTAATGATAATGTGTTGAATCCAATTTTTTAGATGACATACACCTCAGAAATTCTGACATTCGTCGATGGTCTGCTGACCCCCAACTCAGCAACAATAATCGTGGGGATAATTCAAATATTCGGCTCATGGTTATCGATAGCGATAATGGATCGAGCAGGCAGACGCTCTCTGATTCTGATCTCCTGCCTGGGAATGGCAATCTGCCATGGGACCCTGAGTGCCTTCTTCTTCATGGAAAAACTCCCCTACGACCTATCATCCCTCACCTGGATTCCAGTGACTGCCCTCTCGATTTATGCATTTGTCTGGAGCTTTGGAATCGGTCCCATTTCATTTATTGTCGCCTCTGAGATCTTCAGCGCTGATGTCTCCAGCACTGCGACCTCAATAGCTCTAGAATTCATGTGGATAATATCATTTTTAACAATGAAATTCTACCCATGGGCTAGTCTCACCATCGGTAAATACGGCTGCTTCAGTATATTCGGTTTTTTTTCACTATTTACTTTCATTTTTACCTATTTTATCGTACCTGAGACGAAGGGGAGGTCCATTGACTCGATTGTCAACGAGCTGAACGGATTTCCAGAGAAAAAAGAGGATAGAGAACGCCTCGAAGTCGATGACATGATCTAATTAACGATTTCAATGCATAAAAGAAAAATCAAAGAAAAAAAGACGTACAGACGCTGTGGTTTAAACAAAATAAATGCGCAAGATCTCAAAAAGGGAAATAACGAGATTTTCTGCCAGATTGTTATTATTATTTTTCATTTAATTTTAATATGTATTTTAATTTAATTTTAATTACTATTACTGATAAAACGTCTATGAATTTCGAAATAAAAATGAAAAATCTCTTGCTAATTCTCCTGATTGATTAAAATAGTAAATCAATGCAAAACCCGTAATTCTTTTAATTATCGATTAATTATAAAGGGTAATGGGTGCATAAATTATCACGTAGTGAATGTGTGGAACTGTTTATTCAGGGGGGGAGAGAATAGAATGTTTCTCAACAGTATTGACCACAAATGCGATCTATTGCTCTTTATTAATCACCAGACGTATGAGTAAATTTTTTTTTTCGCAGGTCTTTGAATTTTCAGCGATTGTGATAAACTCGTCAGAATGCACTAATCACCTGCGATCGTTAACTTGTCATTCCTCCGAGGTAATTAAGGATTTCAGACATCAGGAGATCGTTATATCCTGTTGTTAATTAATTGCAGTTAAATCGTTGACTATTTTATACTAACGCTCGTGTCTTAATGAGTCATTCTGTGGAAAATGGAAATGGGAGGACAATCCAAGGATTTTTTATTGATGAATTATGTAAAGCGATCTTGTTAGTTATATTTTCGCGGAGGAAAATTGTTTCTCTTTCGGGGGGAGAACGAGGAAAATGAAATTTATTCTTTTTCAAGGGGAATACCGCCTTTTTGCGCAACTTCAATTAATTTTTTATTATTTATTTGATCATTTGATTGTTTATTATTGATCAATTGTCATTATGACAAATTGTAATTGATCATCCGGGAAGAGTTCGTGTTTCAGTTCTCGTTGCAGTGATTATTTGATACAAAATAAATAGAAAATATTAATTATTCTTCATTGAGAGTCAGTTAATTAGAGCATGACATGTGAGTCATTCCAACGCACGTGTGATAAAATTCCTGAGAAAAATCTAATGATTCCTCTGTAAATTCAATTGCAATTGTAATTCCGAGTAGAATTTATCAGAATAATATTCACTTTTTTAATTCCGTTTTGTTTTTCCTTTTATTTTTTGGGAATTTCATTGGATAATTCATTGTAAAAATGATTAACAACAATATTAATACTAATATTAATATTATCATTAATTATTATTATTCATTGAAGATTCATGAGTGAAATAAACACTTCGTTTAGCACGTTTTGCAATTTTTGTAGAATTTTGGGCAAATTTGGAAAGATTTAACAGGAGTTACGGGGATTCCTGGAAAACGAGTCTCAGCACTGAGAAGAATGATGCAATTTTCGTAACCATGGTCCTGAAGTTCTCTATATTCATGGAATATAATTTACCAGCGGTCAAATTGAAACGATAATTAGTCCTCATGATGATGAATTTAATGTCTTTGATGATATCCTGTGGCATGTCATACCAGGGACTGTTATAAACATTAATTGCAAGTGTTTCAGCGTAGGAACTCAGATTTTCTCCCACATAGCTGTACATGAAGAGCTGTACATAGACTAGATAAATTCTTATAATGAGACATGATATCAAGACCGCATCGCCGGAGTCCAGACTCATCAGCAGAGCAATTCCTGTTGAAAAAACAATTAATTGTAAGAAGATCGGGCATTCAGTGTGAGAACATTAATATATTCCAAAGTTTAATGACTTGTCAAGAAAATTCTGCAGTAAAAATTCGTTGATTCTTCAAATTGATTGAATTCCCAGGGGGATCATTAAAATTTAATAATGAATTGATTAATTGAAGAGTCAAGAATTTTTTTAGCTATTGAAATGAAAATTCTTAATAAGTTGAAATCAGTTGGTGATGAATTATAATAAAAATGAACGGTAGATTAATTATAATGAACTTTACCTGATATGCAAATGAGGAGAGTGTCGACGCCGACCTGGGCGAGGATGATGACGTGATACATCTCTTCAAAATTATAAACCAACTGGAGCAAGTGATTGTGTCTCCTGACGAATCCTTGGATTTTCCTCCTCTTCTCCTGATCATCGCGCGTTTCCAAATTTTCCAGATTTTCCCCCAGCAATTTAAATTGCCCGCAAACGTGCATCGCAATCCCGAAGAAATAAGCGTCGCAACCGATGTACGCAGTGCATACGATGAAGAGTGCCACAGACTGAAGAATAAATTCACCCCAATACTGATAAGAACTCTGATCCTGTGATACCCAACAGCTGGGCCCTATGGGGAGCTCTCGGAATGTCTCATTTTCCAGATCGTTCCACAATCCCCGGAAAATTGGCAATCTCAGGAAAACCAGGGGAAAGCCCACGGCATAAGCCCCGCACATCTGCACGACGAAGACGAGTCGTCCCATCTGCGCATATTTTATCATCACAAGTCGCGATTTAGTGGTTGCCATTGACCAGTCGTTGACAGCTGAATTGACAACTGCCAGAAAATCTTCACGATGAACTCTGGGAATCGCCACTTTCATGACTGTTAGGAATCCACAGAAGACGAGACTCAGGGCATCGACTGTGTCAGTCACGGATCCGCAGTTTCCATTTGATAACAATTTCTTGGTAAGGGTTGTGGACATCCACAACTGGACACGCATGAAAAATAATCAGGAAAAAACCTGGGGCTTTCTCTGAAAAAATTCTATTGTATTTCCATTCCTGAATTATCATCAGGTCAATCAATCGTCAATTGGAAATGATAATCCACAGGAAATAATCTGTTAATACAACTCTATTAGAACTCCAATAGAATTATTTCAATGACTTGAAACAATTGTTGAATGCACCAATTGTCTTGCACCAAGGGATCATCACCTGTTCACCTCATTACAATTAAGAATTGATAATTTATTTACCTGCGTCAATATGACGAAGGAGATCTTGGCTGTCGGTGCGAATCGTGCAGAGTCCAGAGGCCATATTCCAAGAGATCTTCCTAAGAGTCTGTAATATCCTAGGGCGTACGTCGTGTCTGGTGACCAAGTGTCGGTCCTCAATGCTTCCATCGCTCAGGAATTCCGCAGTCTAGACTCTAGAGTCCAGAGCCTTTTCCACTATCCCATTATTATTAATGATAGTTGCACTGCACACAGTGGGGGATGAATAATCCACGAGGAGTGTATGTTTTTCGTGGAAGATATTTTTGTTGCCCCAGTAGAATCTGCATTTTTTATGTTGCTTTCTTCGAAAGGGATTCCCAGCGATAATTCTTCATGAGTCCACGTACTGAGGGAATTTATTTCGAATAGTCGAGCTCAAGGTAATTCCAGGGAGATACTACACTCCACTGGTGGAACTTTATTGAAATTTCAG